GGAAAAGAACTTCAGAGTTAGAGTCCTAACAAAGACAGCATATAGTGTTTTCTATACAAGCAACTATTCTAGGCACTTGTTATAATACCCATTACATCCTATTTCATTTCTAGGATCTATTAAAACAACCTTATGTATAAAAAGGGAAGCTGGCAGGTGGGCTTGGGGCCTGGGTGCGGCGATATGGGGGGGCCTCGTGCTCCGCTGAGCCTGGCTCCAGCTCCCGGGACCCAGCATCTAGGGGACTTAGGGATTGTTCCTGCTGCACATCCAGATCCATTGGCCCTGCACATCCACAGCAGGGGCAAAAACACCACGGCTGTCCCATACCGGCAGCACCATGTACTACAGGTAACACATGCGAGTGATGGAAGAGCTGCCACGGACTGGGTCAGACCCTAGGTCCATCTTGCCTGGGCTCCGGTGTCACATGGGAGCAGAGAGCAGAGGCTGGAAAGGAGGGTGACCTGGTCTGAGCAGCGTTTGCCCCGGGGAGTTCGGATTCACAGGCCATGCCCCTTTCCTGCAAGAATAGGTCCAGCCCCTTTGTGAATCTGGCTACACGCTCAGCTTCCACCACATCTGGTGGCAACGAGTCCTACCCTTTAATTCCACATCCCTATCAGCCACATCACAGTGACCATGATGATGATACGGGGAGATCAACGTGGCCATAGCACCCAGGGGGCAGCAGCAGGGATCAGGGGCCGAATTTGCGAAGACACAAAAAGACTGGCTCTATCCTGAAAGAGACAGGCTTGATAGACACCAAGGCTGAGGGGAAACTGAGGCACGCGGTGATTTGCTTGAGGGTGCCGGCAGATCAGTGGTGAGAGCCCAGGTGTCCCGAGGCTCAGTTCAGCACCTCCTTCGCTGCTAAGCAGATGCAGGGGCACAGCCCCGCTCCCAGTCCCAGCTGGAGGGGCAACGGATTTTACCGCAGCAGAGTTCAGGATAGAGCCCAGGGCAGACCGACGTGGCTGCATGGCCCTGCCCCCTCCATCTGGCTGCTCACTAGCCATCCTGCCCAGGGGCACTGGTGCTGGGTGCCGGTGCACAGCATCATAGAGAAGCCAGGTGGGAGGGTGCTGGGGTCCATCTAGCCGAGCCCCTGCCCTAGCCCAGCTGCTAGCACAGGTCGGCACTCTCAGGCTTTGACCCCAGTCCTCCAGCCATCTGGTGCTGGTGAGGCAAGACCCCCTCCAGAGCCCACAGCCCTGGGACCCCCTCCCGCCCCTCATCCCCACAGCATCATGTGTCCCCGTCCGAGGCTTGGAGACCCCCCAGTGATGGCCAGGCTGATCCCTTCGGATGGGACCCAGGATGCCTGGGTTCTTCCTCCTGCCAGACCTCAACTGAGCCCCTGCCCTTCTCCAGACCTCAGCCCTGTCCTG